AATATATTTTCTTTAATTAAATCTTCTTTAATTGATTTGGTGATCAAAAGTCTTATTTTTTGGTGATTATTTCACTGCTAATAAATTTGGTGATCAAAAGTCACTTTTTTGGTGATCAAAAAAATTGATACCCTTTTATTCATTTTTATTCTATCAATTAGTTTTTATTTATTCTTATATGAACACATCAAAGGAAACGTGAACTATGCCAATCAATATGATCGACGTAAATCTGTAGCAATTGATGCAAAAGATGATCAATTAGCGTTAGCCTATTTTGAATTAAATGGTAATGAAAATGCATTAAAGTATTATGAAAAATATATTAAAGTACAAAAGAAATTATTCGCTGATGCAAAAATCGATAGTCAACTATGCCAATAGGTAATACATATATTCAATTTAGCTTTATCACTTGCTAATACTGATCGAACCAAACAGCTATTATGAGACGCATATGAAAATCTGATTTTTTTTTCTAGGGAAATAGAATTTAGAGAACCTAGATATTAAATGAGCGTGTCCGATTACGTTGTACGGCTCAAAGATCTCACCCAACTCAATCCGACCGTTACTTTATTATTGATTTATGTCAAATGATTGAACGTTATATTTAATAAATAAACAAACACAGCAAACAATTTATCATTCTGAAAAATTAAATACTAAAGAATTAAGTAATCTAATTGATACAAAAGACTATAAAAATCAATTACTATCAATCAATGGTTTTATATCAACTACAACTGCTAGAGGCGTAGCTACAGATGGTCATGGTGAAAAACAATCAAAACCAAAAAATTGTGTCATCCGTATTAGTTATCACCTATTTAGGAAATCCGCTTCTGACTACAGCAGTTTTAGTGTAAGAAGCTGATATTGATTATTTTCAGACTTTTTAATTAAATCTTCGCTTATATGAAATAACAATACATACAAAAAAATCATATACTGCCTATGCATACATTGAAGATGTATCATTTCATCGTGAAAATAAAGAATATTTATTTTCTGTTTGTTCTTGTTTTTCTATTGATAAACTAACACCAGAGAAAAAATTTCACATGTAGTAACTTTAATACATGTGTAATCATAATTGATATCGGATTTTTTTTTTTCGCTTGACTAGAAGTAAATCAACAAATTTTCAGATGGTTACAATGGATTATGTTCCTATAAATCAAACTACATGTGAAATTCTTTATCTTCACGATGAAATGATACATCTTCAATGCAATCTAGTCATTATTATTTATATTCATTCATTATTTTGTATGCTAATAAATCTAAATATCCAACACAATCAAAATTGAATCTATCAAAGTATGAGCTATTATGAGACACATATGAAAATCTGATTTTTTTTTTTCTAGGGAAATAGAATTTGGGGAACATAGATATTAAATGAGCGTGTCCGATTACGTTGTACGACTCAAAGATCTCATCCGACATTCAAGCTGTTTTTGAGTCGAGAGACTCTGCTTAGGTTTCATGGTAACCAACGCTATAGCTCAACTTTGATTTTAGATTGTCAAAATGACAGCAATTGTCACTTTTTACAGTGAGAAGAGCATTGGTCTTTTACTTCTTTTTATCAAAACAGTAGTGAAAGAGGTGGCATGTTTTGAAGTCTGAAGGTGAACTAAGCTGAGCAATAACGTTTTGAGGACTAGTAAATGATGAGTTAGGTTAAACATTTCTTTTAAACCTGATTTTAGATTGATTACGTGTTAATGCTTTTCTTATTAGAGGGAAATGGGTTGAAACTCTTTAACGTCTTAGACAGAGATAAGGTTTTTTTATCTTCTCTTATGTAAACATCAAAGAAAGAAGCGCTGTACATTCTACGATTGCTCTGATTGCAGCATTTGCTTCGATCATAATTTTGAAGGCTCCCTAAGAAATATTTTAAAATGTAGCGGACCTTCTTAAAAATTTTTGCAATTCTTCTATAGCAGAAATATGTAGAAAAAAGCTATCATAAAAAAATTATCTGAATACCAAATTTTTCGATATTTTGAAAAGAGCATCGTTTTTGAGTTTTATTCTTACATTGTCAAGTCGTTTTGGCTTTATGCTTGCAATATATTGATCAAATGCTTCAATTATATCATCTCTTACTATTTCCATATCATATTAAACAAATGGATCACTAATATTTTTACCCATTTGTAAAAATATTTGTTTTATTCGTCTAAACCATAAATATGCACATGACTGTTGTGTTAAATAATTTAGGGATGATTTTGTACCATCAAATATTTTCATTGGTATCTAATCCTCTTTATCCTTATCAAGTGATAGTGAAGATTGAGGACGATTTGTTATTTGTGGTAAAACTGATTGATGTAATCCAGCAAATGTTTCTCGCGATAACGTCGAATTATTAATATTATCTCTTGATCGTGGTGGTAGCTGAGGCTCTTGTTATTTTCTATTCATCTTCGTTCCGCTATTCCATTGAGTACGATTATTATTACTTGCCATTTGAAAAACGTGTTGCAACATGATGAAATCGGGGAAATCAACTTGTTCCAACGCGTTCCAGTTAAAATTCTATCAAATTTGATCAATCTTTCCGACCGGGTTGGAACCTGCTCTGTATCGTCCACGTTCTAACGCGTTAGAATAAGAAACGGGTTGGAACAAGTTCATTTGACTGATCGCCCGCGTTCGAACGCCTTAGACTGATTATTTTCTAGCTAACTTCTTGAGATATTTTTCTCTCCATAGGCAGTCTCTTTCACATATTTGATATCTCTCACCATATCTGACTTTAGCTTGGTCGAAGAGGCAGAAATCGTACGGTTTTTCAATCTCTAATCAAGCACAAAAACCATCTTCCGCAAAAGCAAGTTAACGCAATGAAAAAAATAGTACGATTTCTGACTTTTCCACTAAGCTATATTCGAACATCGTATAGAGTTTTTTATAAACGTGAAAATGAAGAAGAATTTCAAGAAATTCATCTTTGTTTTTATTTTTTTTTGAGCTTTCGAGACTGTCCCGCCTCATCATCAGGACTAAGCTAAAGTCAGATGTGGTGAGAAATGTAGAATGGGTGAAAGAGACTACCTGTAGAAGAAGACAGATCCATCAGATCGATCTTAAAACCTCTGTTGCCGCACATGACCTTACATTCATCTCATATTAACTTACACGAAACTTGAAGGATCACACCTTACCGGTCTTTTCTTCGGGATGCGATCCGTCAACGTAATAATATCAGTCTTCGTTGAATAAAGAAAATATATCTAAAGGTAAACAAAAGGCAGAAAGAATGAAGCACCGTAAACAGGAAATCTTTCTGATCGAAGAAAAGCCAAGAAGGAGAAAGCACCTCTGCATACGAGAGCGTTTTACAGTATCTAAAATTCAAGATGGTCGAAAAGTAGGAGAATCGACGCCTTTTCAGAGAATAATTCTTAGTCTTGGTTTTTCTACATGACACAACTTTTATGAGTTCTTTAAAGAAAAACGGCATTAAAGCACTTCGAAATTTAGCGATCAGATTCTTTATTTTTTAATCTAAAGCATAACTGGAAAATTAAGCCATCTAAACCAAGAAGCATCTAAATAGCGTTTATTAAACGCTGTTTTATGGTCCTTATATTCTAGTTATGGTTGAAAACATTGAAAAGAAAACAGAAAGTTCGTCAAATACACAAAACGTGCAAATAATAATCTCGGAGCAAATACTGAATATCTGAATATTAAATCTGAAACGAAAACCATTAAATTAGAAAACAGTTTTAGTAACGAACGCATTTCAATAACGAATCATCATGTTCAACAACCAATACAAAGGCAATTACATTATCAAAAATTAGTCCCATACAAACCTTTTAAGGTAAAAATAACGCTTTCTATCACATCCGACAGACTTCAGCAGATTTTGCAGTAGAAATCATTTACATGACGTAGCCAAAACTATGTACTTTTTCCAACAAAAACAAAAGTCATACCTTATTATTAATTATTTTACCATCACAGAGTGTTTGAGACTTTAAAATGTGACTTTAAATTTTCAATAATCTGTTTTAGAAGATCCCAAAAATTGCACCATGACTCAGAGTAGTACAAGCGGTGTATTTCAACACTATTATAGAGGGCGAGAAATTCGCCCCGTTTTCCGGGAGCAAACGGCTCTCGAAAATGATACATTTTGCTGGAGATGGCACCTTTGGAGCAGCCGATATCGAGAACGAAAATACCTGAGATTACCAGAATGATTTCATAAATATTGCAACACATGGGCTATCTGGAATATGATTGGAAGTCTTATTCCTCGCTCCACTTTGATAGGATTGATCTCCAAAGTTGACAGAATTGACGAATGGGACTGTCGATGCGTCATCTACTGCAAAAAAATGAAAGCTTTTCGTAAAAATTAAATATCGCAGCAACGCAACAACTTTAAAAGTTGCGGATTTGGACAAAATTCCTGAAAATGTTTCCTCTACTTTGGAAGAAATCTGGAATGGTCGATTGAGCACGTTCGGTCGTGGCTTATCTTTAATGGTTCTTATATATATACACATCGATCGACTTTCTTATGCAGTTTCTTGCAAAATTCTTATTTCTTATCATTTCAGCCAAGGTTCTTTTATTTTAATTTTTACCTCAATTTTTATCTTTTTTTGATATGCCAACAGAATGAAATATACAACTTTTTTTAGTCGTTTTATAGTGCAGGTAGCAAAAGGGGATTAATATGTATTGTTTGTGGAAATATTGAGTCGAGAGGCTAAATATAGAAGAGATTATACGAGACTTATTTTGACTGTGAAAGTTGAGAATGATTGTATTTCTTTAAAACTTCTTGAAATTTTTCCTACGTGAAAGTTCAAACAGTGTCAGCCTATTACATTTGTAGAATTTAAACTGCTCTTGAAGTTGGTGAAACATCCGCTAATGTTGTCTAGTTTTTGAGATATACAATTTTTAAAATATCAACCAAATTTGGATCGAGTTTTGAACATAAAATCTGATCTATACAGTATATACCTACCATTTTCTAGGAATAGCTACAGAATGTCATTATGAGTTTATACAAATAATTTAAACCTTAATTTTTGCATTATCATCGAGTTATAAAAAAAGATAATGAGCAAGGATATCAGAAAATAGGTGAATATTTCGATTTGAGTAAGCATCCGTCCGGTAAAAAAACGAAGTATCCCCGTAGATGTATCATGTAGAAAAAATCCCAGAATCCAGAGGACGCTGAAATCTGATGGATGATTGGTTGCTCTGTAAAATTTTGCAAGTCGCTTATTTAAGCCTAATTTATTTGATTCTAAACTCAAAAATTGCTGTAGAAAAAATGTTTTACATTCACTCACTACCTTAGAATCGAAAGGAAAGAACTGTAAACCGAATTTTAGATATGAAACATCGTTTTAAGTTTAAATCCAGACTATTTCGCCTCTCCAGGTTAATTTTTATTAATTATTATTAAATTATGGTTTTGATTTGATAGTATAACAAGAATTAAACGTCTGAAGTTGCAGCATAATTATAATCAAAAGACAAAACTTACGGGACAATATTTTTCTGCGACTTTGTCCCAATCCCGTAAGCTGAAATATTTTTCTTGCCCCGAGCTATGATCAGTAGCGGAAGTTACCTATAGCCATGTATGTTTCAGCCCATCAGGTGGAGACCTTCTCTAGTCAGTAGAACAGTTCTGTCGGTTTCATCAATTTTTGTTCCACTGGTAAAGTCTAAAATAGCAATCTTAGAGAGGAGCTAAAGCTTTCAAAATATCTATAACATTTTTCGCCAGAAACGTTACAAGAATTTACAAATTTGTTAGACAAAACCAAACGGATAGCAACCTTGAGCTGTCTTGAAAACTATTTTAGTAAGAAAAGCTTCCGAAAAGTCTGGAAGAAGATCCAAACCATTATGAATTTTTTAGTTTTATTGTTATTCTTATTTAATTTCTTTTCTTTTAGTCATAATTTGCATCTGCCTTAGCTCTTCCTAACAATGTCACTCGAGCCGCTTTTTTTTATACTCAGACCGCGTTAGTCACAATCTTAGGTATCATACACTGTCTTTTTTATCGCTGCGTCGCGTAAGTTATAGCATCTCAAGCCGAGAAAGAAGTCGAAATTGTGGATTTCTTTCCTCTTATAATTTCCATTTCTCATATGAGAAATTCCTTGAAAAGACATACGAAATGTAAAAAATTTCGTTTATTAAAAAATGAATAAGTAAACATTAGTAAAAAATATTGCTGAGATATAAAATTTAAAGAATGAGACTAACCAAAAATGCTACGTCCTTATTTTTTAATTTTTCCTTGATTTTCCACATGTTCAACAGCTTGTTTGACAATATCATCGGGTGCGAGATAGTAATGATTTAATGCATTCAAATTTTCGTCCAATTCATAGACCATCGGAATACCTTAACAACACAAGAAAAAATAGTGATTAAGATTGAAAATGATGGAATTATTACCTGATGGTATATGCATATGGATAATTTGATCATCTGACACGTGATCTAAGTATTTTATTATAGCTCTCAAACTTGTTCCATGTAGGCAGATTAAAACATTTTGGCCTATAATAATTTTCGGCACAATTTGATCATGCCAGACAGGTAAAACGCGATTGATCGTATCTTTCAAACATTCAGTTAATGGTAAAATACGTTTATCTAAATTCTAAAACAAATAGATAAGTGAAATGAAGACGATAGAGTTTCAACTTACTTTATATTTTGGGTCATTTCTTGGATTAAATTGACTTGTTTCCTCTACTGGTGGTGGTCGAATATCGTAGGCACGACGCCAAACCTTAGTAATAAAGAAATAATTAATTAATTTAATACAAAATATGCTTGATATTACCTTGACTTGATCTTCTCCATATTTGGCTGCCGTTTCCGATTTATTTTTTCCTTGAAGTGCGCCATACATTCGCTCATTTAAACTCCAATGACGATAAACAGGTATCCAATGTAAATCGAGTTCCTCTTGAATATAGTATACCGTTTTTATGGCACGTTTCAAGACGCTTGTGAAGACAACATCGAATGTATATCCATTCTCTTTTAGCCACTAAAACGATAATTGTCTAATTCATCTGACCGAGAGTGAAATGAAAATTTTAGCAGCAACATTATATATGCTTAAGTTCAACAGCTCGACACAACCAGTCAAGATCAAAGGGATGGAATTTAATTTATTTTACTTTTCCAGCTTGTTTTGCTTCATTGATACCCTTCTCGGATAAATCGGCATCATACCAACCGCAAAATAAGTTGTCTCCAGTCCATTCACTGATAATAACAAAAAAAAGTTTGCAATACCATATACAAAGAAACAAGATGGCTACCTTTCTCCATGACGCACTAAAAAACAGAAACACCAATAGAATCTATTTGAGATGGATTATGAAAATTACTCAAAACGATTTTAAATGCTGACTGTTGAGACATTTCACTCGGGTTTATATTTGATTAAATTTTAAAAATGAGTCAAGAAAAATAAAGATGTTCTTCTTAACCAAGAAACTGTATTATATCATTGTTTGTTTTTTAAACAAAAATCAATTTAATCATTTTTTCTTTTCGCCATTTCTGTTTTGTGATTGCTCATTTCAGACGTAAAACAGAAATTTAGAAAAGATGATGTCGCCGGTGAGTGGACTAATTGACATCAGATGGTTTACTTCACTCCTTTAGTGCGACGCGGCCGAATAGATCATGTTTACGTAATCGAATTCCTCTATTCTGAATTCATGCGTGTTGGTATTTAAAATTGCATTTTCTCCATCAAATTTGAATTTTTTTTGAAAAACAAACACTGATATGGAATCGTCAGGTGTTGGGCTTTCT